CTCACTGAATTATCTGCTCATTAACCCAGGGACACATGTGGCTGGGCCAACAGATGAGAAAGAGCTTTCCCCTGAAATTCATCTGCCATTCTTGACTTTAAAACTTGAATTGAAATATGGATAAATAGTCTAAGGTGAGTAATGGCTGCTTCTCAAGCCTGGGGGCATAGTCCTTAGCTAGTGGGAAAGACCTCTGGCCTGTGTCACCATTCAGCCACACAGCAAAGAGTCTGGGCCTCAAACACAAAAACTGAACAGGAAACAAAAGTTGGAACCTTGGTTGGATCTCTGAGTCTGGGCCTCAAACACAAAAACTGAACAGGAAACAAAAGTTGGAACCTTAGTTGGATGCCTTCATCTACAGACCACTGTGGTTTTAGGTCTTCAAGAGGCCAGTGGTGACTTTAGAAGCGAGCAGTTCACTTTCCCTCCCCTCTAGTTGTGGTGTGGCCTGCATCTGTCTCAATGTGCAGACCCTTCTGCATATCTGAACCCCACCTTCCCACCATAAGGTTTAGAAATTACACCTCTCAGTCCCACAGCCCCAAGTGCAGACCCCAAGCTCACAGAGATTATGAATAGGTTTGTCTTTGGGAGAGGTGACTCAGATATGCCACCCCAGGGTTAGGGCCATGTAGCTCGTGCATACATCCCTCTGCTGGACTCCACTTTCAATTCAAAGACAAAATCCTAGTAAACCCTCTACCCAAGCCATCAGGCAGACCCTGGGACCTGCACTCCAATGGCCATTTAATGAACCACCACTGTGCTAGATGAGGAGCGTGGCAGTAGTATTCCTGATGTGTTCTTTCTAGACCTGTCTACTCACTAAGGTAGCCTGTGCTTGTCTTATTCAGTGCAGCTATTCATGCTGTCTTCCCAGGGTAGTGCCTAATGGAGGGTGGGAAAGCAGACTGTCACATCTGTCACTTAGGTATCTGTGGAAACTTGTGTCAATCCAGTAGTCATCACCCAAGAGGGTCTTCATCCTTGTGTGTGTCAACTCCCCCAACCCATCCTTTCTGGGGCTGCCTGTGGCCCACCATCACCACCCTCAGATCTGGGACGGCAGTGACATACCAGCTGAGCGGACCCCTCTCCACTTGACTACATGCTCCCTATTGAAATGTCTGAGCTACTCTTCCTAGGGGTGTCTGTTCACCTCTCAGAGAGGCAAAAGGTGTTTAAGCCTCTGGAAGCACAGGGCTAGGGCACTAAGGGCCTCACTCACCTGCCAGTGTCCTTCATTCTGCTTCTCAAACAAATATGACTAATTAAATTTAGAAGGAAAGGGAAGCCCCATGATACTGTGGATTACCATCAATGCATACCTAAGGAGAGAGGCAACCTGTGTGCAGAAAGCCGCATGGTCCGACAGAGCGATGCCCCTCCGGAGGTCCTGAAGTATGAGTGAGAGGGACCACACCTGCATTCCAGTTTCAGATCCCAGAGAGCAAACTCTAAACATATTCTAACAGAGGAGACTCTGGGAGAATTCACCTGCATCTGAATCAAAGGCAGAAGTGGCAGTGTTCCCAGAGGAGTCGTGAGTGTCACTTGCCAGCAACCATTGAAATGCTCCCCCACATCAGAAAGGCACAGCAAAGACCAGTGGCAGAACCTGCAGGGAGGCAGATCTTGAGCGTCCTGTCTAGGTGGGAATGCACCATGTTGTAAAGGTAATGTTGTAAATTAGTGTGGAAATCAGGTTGCTTTGAATGTAACACTGAAAAACAGTGACCACTTGGAAAAACTCCCCCCAGTCACAACAAAGCTCAGGTAGATGCATGTCTGAGTGTAGCTACCAAACCTATCAACATCCAAGAAGACAGTGTGGGTTCACAGGAAGACAGGTGGTTCTGAGGCAGGAAGCCCCAGACTGTACAAGAATCAGACAGACCTTAACACTTCCAGCCTCAGAGTGCACACACAGTACCATAGAACAAGACAGAAGGAAGAAGCCGCCAAACTGCCAGACCTACAGAGTCATGTATTCCAGGAAGAGGCCAAGGCCGGCATGGGATGTCAGCAGAAAGGTGCCAGGAGTTCCTCTAGGGATGCTGTGGCTATTGAACCTCGAGGACATTCAGCTGTTTCCAATACGTTGTCAGATGGAATGTCAGCAATGCTCTATCATGTATCCATTGGATGGACAGAGACCCCTGACAGTACACAGCCAGAAAGGACATAACAGCTTGGAGGGACAGAGTCTTCGCCTTGTTAGTAGACCTATTTCTGCCTAAGATTTCCTCTCTGCCTGCCTTCCCCCTCCTCAAAATCAACCCTTCATATCTGGTCACCTCAGCCCATAGCACAGTGCTTCTCAGCTTTCGGAATAAATACGGTGACCCTTTAATACAGTTCCTCACAGAGTGGTGACCCCAACCATAAAATTATTTTGTTGCTACTTCATGACTGTAATTTTGCTACTGTTAGGAATCACAGTGTAAATATCAGATATGAAGGATATCTGATATGTCATTCCTGTGAAAGGGTCATTCAGTCTCAGAGGAGTCACGACCCACGGGTTGAGAACCACAATGTGGGAGGGCAGGATCAGTCCTCCAAAGCCAGTGACAGAAATCTGAAAACAACCACTCCTCCCTAAGGGGTGGCTAAAAAGCCAGTGACAGAAATCTGAAAACAACCACTCCTCCCTAAGGGGTGGCAGTGTTCCCAGAGGAGTCGTGAGTGTCACTTGCTTTAGCAGCCAGCCCTGTCCCTTCCCAGGACATGTCAGAGCTTGAAAACCACAGGTCACCTAGAACTCCCTGGAAGGAGTTTGCTAAGGAGCGTCTTAGCAAAAAGGGCCAGGAGCAGGGAAGAGATGGCTCAGCCCATAAAGGCACTTGAAACCAAACCTGATGCTGAGTTTCACCCCCAGAACCCATATGATACAAAAAGAGAAAACCAACTCTCCCATGTCGTCCTCCATCCTTCACTTGTGCACGAATTCCTAACACAACAAGACCAAATGCAATTAAAAAACCATAAAGGCCAGGGGCACAAGGAGCACTCAGCCCTGTCACCACTGTGGAAGGCACCCATTGCCACACCAAAGCTGGCCACTGGAACTCTCCTTGAGATGAGAACATTGGAAGCTCAGAAAAGGGTGCTGAAGGGTCCCAACCCTCTGTGTCTGCTTCCTCTCCCTCAGAAACCCCTCGGGAGTACAAGAGTGTTTCCCTCATAATTTCACATGTTTCTTAATGAGGCCAAAATCTTGTTCCTGATTGCTCCTAAAGACCCTTCAGACAAAGCATTTGGCCCATAATGATTATCCTGAATGAATGTGGTCTCTAAGCTCATCTCCAGCTAGCAGCGTGGCCTTCCAGGAGCTCCAAGGACTTCTCCCAGGCATCCACTACTTGCAGCCTTCCTTCTTCCTCCATATACATCCTTCCCCTGCACTGGCTGTGCTCTGGGCTCCCCAGGCACCAGGCATAGTAGGGCCAGCACTTTAGAAGGAGGTGAGAGGCAGAAGGGTCCACAGCTGTGAATTTCAAATGCCAAAGGAACTAACCTTCTTCCAGGGACAAGGCCTTGGCTGTTTCCACCACAGATTGAGGATATCAGCAGCCAGTGATGACAGGAAGCTCCGCCTACCAGTCACCCACCTGAACCCTTACTCCTGTCACCTATTCACAGTACCCAAAGCAATGTCAAGGCTAGATCCTACAGAAACTAGTTCCCTTTCTGGCCAGGTCCAGGACCCAGCAGTGACCATGGGTTTGGGTCAGCTACAGGTGACATCTGGGGAAGCATTGGGCCAAAATTCGGGCCCCAGAGAACGCCTGGGGTATCCAGTAAGTATCACAGGATGAGCCTGGCCACACAAACCATCTGTGAAACATCTGAAGCAGCAGAAGGCAGGGCTGGAGACTGAAGACCAGCATCTGGGGTGGAAGGATCAGATCAGCTCATCTACCTGTACAAGTCTTCCCATCTCTCCCACCTTTGCCACCCTGCCTGGGGATCAGCATCCTCAGGCCTCAGGCCTCAGGCCTCCATCCATGCAGGACCCAACTCAGACTGGGGCAGTGAAGGAGCAGAGCCCAGGAAGTGAGGGTTCCACTTCCACCTCAAGCCACCACAGAGCCTTCAACCACCCTAGGGTTTTCAGCCACCCCAAATCCAAGCACCTGGGGATTCAGAGTAGGTAAAAGTAAAAGAGAACTGAACAGGCACCCATGTCTGCAATTGGGCAAATAAATGTGCATCCCCGGCAGGGTATGAATGTGTACCTGGACACACCACACGAGGTGATGGGGACTCTGGTGAGGACATTTCAATGCCTGTGTGGCGTGTGAACATGTGCCTGTAAGCGGGGTAGACACTGGCTGTGCTTTGTCAGCACTGGCAGGGAGGCACACATGCAGGCTGGCCATGTGCACTGTGGAATGCACCTAGAAGCCCCTCTTAAACCCATGGCAAGTTCGCACAATTCTCATACCTCCTCCCATTGCAGCTCTCACTCCATCTTCCTTAAGGGTCCCCTCCCAAGCTCCCAGCTACAAGCAGCCCTATTCAGGGCATCTCCAGGTGTCCCAGCATATATGCCCACCACCCTGAACCCCTGACCACACCCCCACCTGCCAGGTATCTCAGGGCCTCCGCCTGGCCCTCACTCCTTACCAAGACCCTTCCCCACCTCCAAAACCCAGGCTCAGACCCGGGCACAAGACTCAGAAGTGACTTTATTTCTCTGTAGTTA